TTTCTTTTTTTCCTGAAAAAAAAATTGATCTGAGAGGATTGCCGCTCCTACAGTAGGCATATACAATGATACAGCTTTACTAGCTTTTGCTTGGACAGTTTCAGATGTGCTTTGTCAGCTGTTCAGTCAGTTTTCTTAAGCTAATGACTTGGAATGTAACTCAACAAATATCAAAAGTCAGTTGCAAATGTTCACATTATGTCTCATAGACCTGTTTTAATCATGGTGCAGTTTGTGTACTAGCAAGTACACGATGTGTGATAATGTGGGTAGGAGCACAATTTTCCCGGAGTTTGTCCTGGTATTTTTCAGTTAAGATTCTTGTGTGATTTAGCCACACCTCATTTTTAATTCAGTGGTCTGCAAACATTTACATCCCGGGTTTGTTTATGTTTTATTTTTTAATACTGTGTAACAAACACAGTATTTACCAAACACATGTGTATGAAATAGCATAGACCGGTGTATTTTAAGTAATATATTATTATTTCACTCCATCAGATTTTAATCTTTGTGAATTGACCTTACCTACTTGTTTTCAAATAGCAAAAGGAGACACCTCTGGTTAACCTGTATTTGTTGGATCTTGTGAGGTGATGTCACAGGAAGAGAACAAGTGAAGAGGAAGAAGACAAGTGGTAACTTATCACAATGTCTTTCGGGTTTTCTTGGCTTTTAGAGTAAAATGTAATGGCTATTCTCAAAAATATGTGTCAATGCAGAGTAACAGCGCTATATTCTAAAAGATGCACTTTGATGCAAAACTAAAGTAAGCATGAAACAAACTGACAATAAAATAGGAAATACTAAACATTAAGAAAACCAGGTTAGGAACGTGGTGTCGGTATGGTTCTCCTTTGAAAATGGCCTCCAAAAACGGTTGGAATAAAATAATTTAAAGCCTTTTGTGGGTATGATAAAAGTGATAATTGTTTATTTATTCTTCAAAACTGACCAATCTCTTTACATTAGATTACATCCTGCAAGATAATAGATGTGTTTGAAACCTTTTGTAAAAACTAATCTAACTGATCAAAAATTTGAATAAGCATTTCAAACAAAAATAAGAAATTGTTTTTCTGAAAGGTTTCTGCATTTCCCCCCCAAAAATGTACATACTTTTCAGGATATTTTTTAGATATATTACCCCCCTTCATCATGAAAGGTGTCATACTCTTGAGCTGCGTGAAACCCAACAATCCATCTTCTCCCCAGCGTGATCTGACATGTTCTCAACAGTTGCATGTGATGTCAGGAATGTTCGTCTGTATCAGTTTTCAAGTGCTCCTGAAAATGTTCAGTGGGGTTGAGGTCAAATCCATGACAGTCAGTGCTCCGCAGTCTGTGCCCGGTCTCTTTTTCTCACTAATTTATAGAGCCTTTTCCACAATGCGGCAAAACAGATGTTGCATAACTTCTACTGCAAAAGGGTGAAATCGATTTGATTCTATCAGAAGCTTCCCTCTCTAAACCCTTCAAACAGGGGTGATAGATCAAGACCCCGTGGCAAGACTTTTTAACACACTGCACCTCCGAGCAACATTGAACCAAACTATATATGATTTCCAGATAACAATTCAAAGGATGGTTCTAATGAAAATAGAAAAAGCTCAACACATTTGTCTCCAGTGGTAGAGATAGTTTAATCCCCTGCTCTCCAGTGTATTAAACTAGCAATACAACTGAAAATCCAATGTTTTCATTCAAGGATAGGCGGGTAGTCTTTACTCACTTTGTAAAGAACACACTGCTGAAAGTAGTAAGCCCTGGAATAAGGCACATTTTATGAATCTCTTTGAAGAGAAATCCATCCACTTACTTCAGTGAAATAGTGAAAGAAGTCAAAGAAAGCTAATTGAAATATTGCAGCAATGCTGTAAAAGAAAAAAAATGAATGAAATATGTTTTTCTTACTGAGGAACTTAAGCCAGGAAAAGACATTGCCATTTTACCTTTCGAAAAAACATATGTGCAGTCTACATCCAACCATTAGATGGTACATGTTTTTCAAGCAACCAAATATGGATCTATTGCCAAGCCGTGTCTTTTTTCCAAACTCTAATCAGGTGTTCAGAATTATTAACAAGGAACAAGGCATATTTCATAGTCCAATGCTTAAATTGGCACCTCAGTCTGATGACAGGCTTTGAGTATCCCTATGATCTAGAGAGCTGTTTTGTAAGGTGCATCGGCCTTTGTTAGGGTCTCCCATGGCAAATTATTTTCAGAATTTCGGCAATTCAAAGTCCTTGATGGAGCAGCTCCAGAAAAATAAAGTCACCTTGCCCACAAAAGGGAAACCACGGCACTGACATGTGGATGGTGGTTGAGCCTAAGCTCTTGGAGCTCAGTCAGACCCCAAGATGTCAAAGAGGCACCTCCATATTGGCCCACCACTCACAGGGAGAAAATCTGAATGTGGGTGCATAGTGGGCTGGGTTTAGACAAAAGCCAAAGTGTGCCGATCCCCAGCATCACAAACTAGCTTTTGGAATGTGCAATGTCACTTTGCTAGCAGGAATAGAGCTTGAGCTGTGTGAGGTGGAACATCCATCCATTCATTATCTGAAGCGCTTTTTTCCCAACAGGGGGGGAGCTACAGTTTATCCCAGCTGAAAATACATAAAAGGAGTTCATATATTCCAAACATTAGTTAAATTTTTTTCTGGAGTCACTGGATGGACTTCTTAGAAGGTTGTCACCAGAGAATTGCTTTGTAATATGGTGAGTTGGGGCCAGACTATGAGTATCAGGGATATCAGTATCATGGTAACTGGAGTGCTGACTGTTGGACGCCAGTGTGGATGAAAACTGCGAAGCTCAATAGAGACCGTACTTGCTTGGCTGTCATAGGGGTCACCTGAAGTAGCTTACATAAACTACTGTTTGTACTGCTGCTGGTTTCTGAGGCTAAAATTCAAGTGCAGGAGAAATGTAGGGACACAATACAGGACAGTTGTTGCACTTGAAGGACAAAGGCTTTCCCATGCAACACAGCATGGGAAAGCAGGGGCCTGACCAGGTTGTACTCGACCTGGGTAGAGAACTGCTGACACAAACTGAGGATACTATCAGGTGGTGGAAGGAGGACTTTGAGTGAGGACTCAATCTTTGCTAATTTCTTGCCGTGGCAGAAGTCGCTGAGGTTATCAAAATGCTTCCTGTAGGCAAAGTACAGGATGGTTGATGATAGGAATTTGATAATCGAGTAAACATGCGTTCTGTAGGGTTGGGAATGTCTTAAGGGAATTGCAAGGTAGTAAAGGGTACAGGAACTGCATTTATGTGTTGTTCCTGTGTAATCAAAGCAAGTGCTTTTTTTACATTCTTGACATCATGTTGAACCTATTTACGGTGCGTGTTAGACTTAAGGAAGGCTGCCTCTTTTAATCAGTCCTGTTTGTGATTCTCATGGACAGGATCTCAAGGCCTAGTCATTGAGAGGAAGGTATCAGAGTCACATATCTGCTTTGTGCAGATGATGTGGTTTGGTTGACTTCTCAGGGCTGGGACCCCTCAAAACTCACTGGAATTTAAGTTGAATTTAAAAAGTCAGCTCCTCCAAATCTGAAGTCATGGTTCTTAACCAGAAAAAGGTGGAATGCTCTCTCTGGGTTGGGCCTAGAAAGAGCTGGAGAGTGTTGCAGGGGAGAGGGATGTGTAGGTTTCACCCACAAACCTGTTGCCCCCACCAATAGGTAAATTGATGATAAAATGGCTTGGAAAACAATAGGTAGAGAAAATGATTATCATAGCAGAGTATATGTTAAAATAAATTTTCGTTATGATCCAAATCATTTTCGACTGACATTGCAAAATGACTGGGATTGTAAGGTAACTGCACTCTTCTCGTTCAGGTATTCTTTTAAAAGCTCCATCGGAAGGATAAAGAAAGAGTTTCGAAACACCAGAAAGAGTGTCAAGCAAAATTGTTAAATTCTTGAAAGCTTTTGACTTGTCCTGCTGGGATCTATGTTGGTTGTGTACCAATACTTAAGTGCTGCATCCATTAGGTTTCAAAAATTCCACATGCTAACGCAAAAAGAAAAGTTTGGTTTTGTTCAAATGTTAAGGCCATGTTTCTGTTAACTGTTTTTAAAAAGATGCATTAATATTTTACCGTTTGTTATGTATTCTAGGTTAGCACTATCACCTTGCATGGAGTTTGCATAGTCTCCCCGCATCTGAGTGGCTACCTCCAACTGTCCAAAAACACTCTGAATTGCCCCTAGGAGTGAATGTGAGTGTTAGTGGTCATTTTTAAGTGTGGCCCTGTGTTGGACTGGCGACCTATCCAGTGCCTACCCTATCTCTTGCCCAATATCAGATGAGATAGGCTCCAGTCCCCCTGCTACCCAACTAGAAATAAGTGTTACAGATAATGGGTGGGTGGATGGACGGATTGTTCGAAATTTCTTCATTGCTTAAACATGATCAAGTAATGTTCCAGATTGTTGGTTTCACTAAAGCAATTAACACAACATCTGAAATCACGTCGTCTAAGAGATGAACAAGTAGTGTTGCTTAAAACGAAAGACATTTTCAAGGTCCAGCTAAACTGTGTGATACTGGCACAATTGTGAAGTGATCACGGACAGGAGGTTAAGGGCCAAGTACTCCCAAAGGCGTAATTCCTTTCATGAAATGTGGTCATGAAAGAGCTAAATCAGCTTGCATTCTATGGTTTCGGTCATTTGGGGGAACCTTACGGGCCAAAAGAAATAATTTAGCTATTTTTAAGAGAGAACATTTTTTCTTTTTCTTTATTATCTAATCAACTGGATGCATAACTTATTATTGTAGGCTGCTTTTTGTTTTATGTTTGGAGCTCAATATGATTTTGGGGATAAAAACTGGCAATTTAACAACTCTTTCTACCAAACAAAAAAATCTACAGAAGACCTTAAAAGAAGGCTGATGTGGAACAGGTATTTCTTCAACAGATCATTTTGTTAAATGATTTTCTCAATTTTAAGCAGCACAAGACAAACCTGCAAATAAGACTTGGATACATGTACTTTATTCATATTTCATATATGTTTGTTTACATTTATACAAAAATACAGAATACAGTAGAGTTTTTCCACCCAGAATATCAACCGGGTAATAATTACATTTGCTTTTTTTGGCACCCACACTTATTTCCTGCCTAGAGCCATTTGATTTACCCACTTAAGTGGAATGGATTGGATTACTCGTGCCCAAAAGCACTGTTCTGGATGCAGCTCTCCACGCTCTCGAACCCAACAACAAGCCAGATAGGAACAGTATTTAAAGGCAGTCATTCTCTTGACTAATGCATGAAATTGCTTGGTTCCTGGCCTCCATGCATCAGGCATTACTGACTTTCTGGCTCTGGCATAGACAGGAAAATGGGAGACCATGTTATTTATTTGTTTTTGTTCACAGCTTAGACCTGTTACAGCTCAATATATTCATAGACTATGTATAAAAAGCAACATTTGACATGGTATGCCTTGTTTGTTAGTTTGTGGCTAGACTAACCTGTGTCTCTGTCAGAATACTGGATACTGCACTGTGATGGTCCTAGTGTTGAGAAGGACTACCTAATAGTTATTGGAGGAAAGAGTCTCAGGTCTAAACCGTCAAAGATAGTATAATCCAATATTGCTCAGAAATGCATCTTAACAATAATATAATTGTCTAAAAGCTTTGAAATCACAGTAATAAGTGCAGACATTCCTTCTTAAGTACTGTGGACACAAAATGTGGTATATTTCTTCAATGCGCTCAGCTCTTAACTGCAATACAGAATATGACACAAATAATGTGTCATTTTTCAAAGTTTTTCAGCAATATTTGCAAATGAACAATACTATGCCACATCAAAAAGTTCCAGCTATTGATGCTGAAAGGTACTGTTGAACTGAACTATATGAACACCAATGTGGTATACATTTTCTTTTTTTAAAACACAAATTCAATTTTGCAAGGAATATTCTTGTCTGCTATTAGAAAAACAAAATCCCAACATATAGTCCCAAATACACAGGAAACAAGCAGTTACCAGATAAAGTGATTCCTAAAAGTTACAAAGGTTAAAGTGTAATAGGAACAGAAATGTTACTGCGATTTGTTCTGCCGATACAAGTTTCACATACCAAAGCAATGTTTTACCCGAGAAATTATCATAACTGGTCACAGGTCAAGCCAACTACACTCTTGGTGAATAGATGAGGAGGCTGGGGGATTATACCTGCTACAACAAGGAAACATAAACAGGTTGTTCACATTTACACACACCAGTCAATCACACTAAGCAAACAAGGCACAAAACCAAGAATTGACATAGCACAATGTAAGACCACAGTTATGATAGAAATACTAAAAGTAGAAACAGATTCATGTATCTTGCCACTCCTGTCAGTTTCAGCTAGTTGCCTGATGGGAAAGGTCACAGCCAGCGTGTCCTGTTCACCCTCCTACCGTACTGTACAACAGGGACCAGTTTTGGTTACTAAAGTATCATATCTAAGAAAGCAAAAAGGATGGAAAAAAAACGAAGGGACAGGCCTGTTCATTTAAAATTGACATGGCCCTAACACATGGTTTCAGAAAGTCACACCACCGATAGGTGACGGTACACTTCCCTTGACAAATGTGTTATGACACAACTTTAAGGCAAAACTGATATTTAGGTCTGCATTGTTTTTCCATGTGCTGACCTTTATGGATAGTGAAGACAACTGAAGTCCATAAATTTGATCAACTTTAGCGTTTACTCTTCATCTCATCAGCATGTAAATCTGGACATATAAACTGTGTCAGTTTATCTAGGATGGACTTTACAATACATGCATAACTCTATAACTGGGCAAAGGCAAAGTCAGTGGGGAGAGTAAAAAGCTTGTGGGTGAACAGTGTAAGCCGGGGTCGGTATCATTCACGGCTACATTTGGATTGGTGAAACAGTCAAAAACGAACGTTATATCAAAAATGTATTTTTATTTTATTTTTTATTTTTATAAATCAAGTCTTGGATTTGTTTATCTTTTATAGAGGAATGGCCATCAAAATCTCCCAACAGATAGTCTGTGCCCTGCAAAGCATACAGGTGAGATACATAAAAAAGAATAAAGGCATTGTTGCGCTCACAGTAACTATGGGAGTCCCAATCATGTTCATGTATGCCTATGCTTACAATTATTCACCTTTGAAATGAAAAAATATGGATCCACCCAAAGTCATCACTGAGGTTTATCAGCTGATTGTCATTGGATATTTCAATAGTCTGAATGTAAGTTAGTAAAAGCAGCATATTTCTTTTACATGAGTTGATTTCTTTTTTAATGCAATGCATTCACACCTTCAAAATTGCCCAAATCACGTCTGCCAAAAACCGTCACAAGACAATACCGATTGTTGAAGAGGAGTGTGGTTTTTGGGGTACAATGTGTTAGTACACAAATTGCTCTTTAAATGTAATCCATTAGTAAAGGTGCTCTTAAATGATTGCTTGAAACATTTCGGCTAAATAACCAGCAGCAGCAAACCACCACCACCAATAAATAATACACAACAGATCCCCTTGAGCACAGACTATAAGCAGACCATGTGACTAGACTCTGGAACTACCATGTTTTAACACCATAGTTGTTTAGGGAAACGCTGGAATTGGTGGAAGCTGAGAACCTCTTAAGAATGTGGTTAACATGAGGGTCACCGGAGGTAGTAATTCATGCCTTGGTTCAGATAAGATATTACAAGCATCAGAGACTCTCGGCTTTGTTCTTTAAAGATGAATTGGTGGGCTCAAAGAGGCAGACAGATTAGAAGAATGTGCTGACGAATATGCAAAGTTTTTTTCCCCAAAGGTTTGAAGAAGCAGCAGGTTCTGACCGACGATAAGTGGGAAGCTGAGAATCCAGGGCCTGGTGGAGGGGATGGTGGTGGGGTTATCAGCTATCATCTCTCAATTATTTTCATAGGGTTAATGCAGTCTTATAGGAAAGGCAAACATCCAAACAGTATCAGATGTGATTTAACTGGATGACTCGTGGTTATGGCAACTGTTAACTTGCACTGTGAATCTTGGAGAGCAGTCAAAAGTAGCCTTTCACCTTTGCCAGCTGCTTCGTGTCTCTTTTTAACCTTTGGAATAAACAGGAGAAGAGTAGAGTCCTGGGGGGAAGTAGAGAGAGGAGAGGATTAAGAGTTAAACAAAAGAGATATCTTTATGAATATTGTAGCCTGGGAATTCGTGTGATGCGACAAAATCTCACCAATCATGCTGAAGTATATTGGAGAGCAGAACTTTACACGGTTTCATTGTCGTTCACCACGATGCTGTAATAAGACAGAGGTAAATGCATTTGATGACGTATTGCAATAAGAAAATATCTTTACCTATGTAAAAAATATGTTTTGTAAACTTTTTCTGGAGCATTTTAGAGCTGCAAAATGCATAATTGCTGTATGCAGAGAAGAGGAAGAGACCAACATTTTATTCCAGAATTCTCAAAACCAAACACTGTAATGCTTATCAGCAGTATGACAATACGTTTTTAAATAATATCCTCCAAAGGTGACAGGTTAATATTCTGCATGTAACTAGGCACGTAAACTGTACTTGAGTAGTTTTAATGCTCTGAGCTATTTAGTCTAGCTTGAGGAAATCTTCCTGAAGTGACGCATTCATGTGCATTCCAGTGAGTCTGCTTGTGCTTTCTTAGTGCTTCACCACACTACCTCCTCATGACTCTTTTAACGGCAGATTTATGGTGGAAATTAGAGCCTGAGATTCAGTTGTCGCCGTTCTATTTTTCCAGCTCAGCTTTCAAACAGAAGCAAAATTTGTCAATGGCCTCCTCTACAATGAGAAAATATACAATAATTTACCATCATGCTTCTTGAGGGGTAAACTGGGGGACTGAAGCAACAGAGACAGGTTTATCTTAACTTATTATGACTTTTAAGCTAAAAATATAATGTACATACTGTGTTTGTACACTACATATTTGCCATTCCTCTGCATACCGGCTTTTTTTATCAGGAAGTAATACTGAATGCCCCATGCTCCAAATCTACGCCTTCTCTTCTCTGCACATTTTAGCTCTCGAAGAAACCAAACTCTTCATATTAAAGACTTTGCAATTACACAGACAAAATCTTACAAAATTATGGAGAAAAAGTACATTTGAACATGCATCTAGACAGAGTTGAGAGAACTTAAATAATTATTTTTATCAGGATCAAATGTTCTCCAGTAGCAAGTAACTCAATAAAAAATACAGACATATGAAGATAATACACAGTCTTTATTACTCGAGCCTTTTATTTTACTTAGTGTCAGACAACAAACTCATTTGTCTTGGAAAAATAACATGATAAAATAGGCTTACTTTTCTGATGGGTCAGGATCTTTCCCTCGTGTGAAGTGTTCTTCTTCACAATTCTGTTGATGATCATCCCTACTTCTCCGTGATCTGACCTGTGGTGCATTAGGAAATTGCATTACACTCCAAAGGTTAGATCAATTGAAGTCAGTTTAACAAATGTCTCCATAGAATCCAAGGAGAGTTGAAAGGTTGCCGCCAGCAGTCATAAATTCCACAGATCCTCCGACAACATAATAAAATCAAAGCGCAGGAAGCCCTGCAGGGTCAAAGGTCATCTTACCTTCCACACCAGGAGGTAAATGAGGGCAAGGAGTGGTATAAACAGCAAGGAGAGAAGGCCTTGCTCCACAACCTTAGGAAGAAATCTTGGCTGTGTATCTGGGAAGACAAACAAATCAAATCTTGCAGCATTTGTTTAATCTGTTGCGTCTTTTTCCATAAAAAAATTCAAGTCAGTGATTATTTTTGCATCAGATTTGCTCTTTTCGTCATATTACAGTGGGAAGTAAAAACTAATCTACTCCAAAGGCTAACATCTAGCCTTTTAATATTTCTAAACCTAATGAATGAAAAAACTGACGATAAAGGCTAACAAAAAGTCTCTTTCAACAGAGAGTCTAAATTCAAACTAAATCCTTGTGTTTTGGCCAGTAACTACACTGGAGCCATTATAAGTTAGGATGCTTTCTATTTTCACACATCTTATCAAAAATAGCTACAACTACTTATAAACTACAATTTTCGTTGTATTTTTTGTATTTCCAATATAAACTTTCAAACACACATACACATTTGCAGATTTAAAAAAAAGCCAGTTTCAATCCTAAAATTTGGGGCGTGAGGTGTGTCTTGGAACTGGCAAATAAGTAAAAAAACATCTTGGGAAATTACTTTGCTCAAAATTAAATGTGCCAAAAATAATGAGTAAGCTTTAACCAGCTCTCTTGGTTAAAGTAAGCTTTAACCAAGAGAGACCTTGGCCAGGTCTCTCTTGAAAAAGAGATTCCGAATCTCAATGAGACTTCCTGGTTAAATAAAGGTTAAATAAGAAATAAAAAATAATGTGTCAAAGCTCACAGCCAGCTTTTTCTACCCAAATTGTCACCTGATTAAAATATGCTGAGAAACATAAGCTTACGTGGTGATGTGCTGTCTATTTTACTGTCGGGAGGCAGTGACCCTGAGGGAACGACAAGAAAACAGAATTAAAAAGAAGAAAAAGAAAGAAGAAACAGTCTCTGATGAAAAAAATCTTCATGGTCGAAAAAAATAACCTCGACAGCACCTGTTGTACCCTCCCTCTGACTCACACAGATAGACAAACACAACACAGACCTATTCCAACTACTCTGGCAAGAAAAAAGGAAAGTGCTTGGGAAGATGGGAAGAATGCTGTGTAATCAACACGTATTCCAGGAGGTTTCGGCCCTTTTCTTCCCTTTCACAAGCGCTACCTTGGGACATCTTCCCGTAGTCCTGTGACTCTGTCATGTCTCAATGGACCATCGAAGTACTGAGGCCATTTAGACTTTTTATCGTGCAAAGTTCTTGTGCAGAAATAATGGTTCTGGATTAAAAGCCTCTTCCAACTGACACAGGAGATCTGTCCTAAATAGAGCTTCTTACAAAAGCATGGAAAGGGTGGTGGCAGATTTACAAGCTGAACTGAGGTCAAAGCTGGAATGCTACTAGCTGGATGTTGGATGTAGTTTTACAAAATGTGAACAGTGTGATGTACATGATAAGCAACTACTCATGTTTCCAACAATGAAACACAATGTGACTCAATGCACCCAAATCCTTAAACCCATATTTTCTAATATTGTACGGAAGATGGTTAAAATAAATAACCATGGTCCAACTAACTCTTTAAAATTAGGTAAACACAACGGCATAATGAATAACAACAGTATAAAAATTGTTTAATAATTTCTTGAAGAAAAACTAAAGCACAATAGGACAGCTGTGTGGTAAAAACATTTTTTATCAGCATTAAGTGAAAAAAACATTTAACTAAAATTATTTTTTTTTGTCTCTCACAGTGTTTTGTTCCACCACTGTGTATGATAGTTGTATTACTGTGAGCTGCTGACACGCTGTGTGTGTTTTCTCCAAACATGGTGCCAAGCATTAAGCCACATTGAGGAATTAAAGATGGTTTGCAAAGTTCATTTTTCAAACCCAGGTCAGGCTTCCACCTCATTCTCAGAAAAAAGAGGCTTTATCATGGCAGCTCTTTCAAACAAGCCATACTTATTCACTCTTTTCTGTTCACTCTATACTGTCCTGAACTTTAAAATTCATCATGTTTACTGAGGTCTGAGATGTTGCTTTATAGGAGTGTCCATTGCACGGCCTCATGTCCTCTTGTGATCAAACTGTATTTTTGCCTCTCTGTACAATGATACTTGATTTTTTGGGGCCATTACCTATTGGCCACATATTAGAGACTATAAGACACTACCTTTTTTAATATCTCAACAAAAATGGTTTAAAACAATTTTCAACTATCATGACCTTCTTGTATAGGTAAAATTTTATAATTGAATAATTTCAACCTTCAGAATGAAAACTGTTAAATACATAAAAAACACATTTTAAATACAAAGATAAACCTACTGTCTGTATAAAAGAAAGTTCTTCCTGCACCATGCAGTTTAGTTATTGAATTTATTAAGTCCTATTAATCATCTTGGATGAGTAAAAATGGACACCAAGTAAAATCTTGAGTCTTAGGAGCTTAAATATTATTCTTCATATTTGTCACAATTAAATGATTAACTCAAAACTGGTTCTCACAATTACTGATCAATAATCAATGCATGTGATCAGGAAAACTTTGCTGCTATTTAAACATTTTAGTTCCTTGGTGTTGTTCAAACACTATTTTGGTTTTCGGTCTTTATTTTGAACAACAAATAAATAGTTAATTTTATTTTCTTGTAATATTATTGTGCATTGACAAGTCCAGAACAGATGAAACCTGCTCAAGAAACCCTGCTCAAGAAACCCTCTCTCCCACCGACCCAGGTGGAAAACTATCGGCCGGTATTTTACTACCGTTTTTGTCTAAGGGCAGTCTTGAAGCAGGTTACAGACTACCTCTCACAAAGCAATCTCTTTGATACAAACCAATCTGGGTTTAAAAATGACCACTCCGCTAAAACGGCTCTGTTGTCTGTGAGAGAAGCCTTAAAAGAGGCGAGAGCAACAGGGAAGTCTTCAGTAATTATCCTGCTTGACTTATCAGCTGCATTCGACACAGTCAACCACGCCATCCTTCTGTCTATACTCTTGAGCATGGGCATCACAGGGAGAGCTCATTTCCTGGTTTGAATCGTACCTCACTGGTCGATAATTCAAAGTATTCTGGCTTGGTCACACTTCTGGAGTGCACCACCTTGCTACAGGGGTTCCCCAAGGTTCAGTACTGGGACCTCTTCTCTTTGCCATATACACCACCAGGCTGGGCCAGATCATTCAATCACATGGTTTCTCATACCACTGTTATGCTGACGACACCCAGATCTATCTGTCATTTCCACCTGATGACCACACGGTTTCAGCACACAACTCAGACTGTCTCTCTGACATATCAAAATGGATGCAAGCCCATCACCTCCTATTGAATCTCTCAAAAACTGAACTGCTTGTTTTCCCAGCCTAGCCAACCATACACTACAATATTCACATCCAGACTGGATCCCTGTCTCTGACTCCATCAAGGGCAGAAAGAAACTCTGTTGTCATGACCAGCTGACCTTTAAAGATCATGTTACCTCCCTTTCTCGATCTTGTCGCTTCACATTACTAAACATAAGAAAGATCCGGCTGTACCTAACCCCACATGATACCCAGCTCCTGGTGCAGTCTATAGACATCTCCATCCTTGACTATTGTAATGCACTCCTGACTGGTCTCCTAGCCTGTACAGTAAAACAGTTACAAATGATCAAGAACGCGGCGCGTGTGTGGTCTTCAATCAGCCCAAAAAGTCTCACGTCACACCTCTGTTCATTGAGCTTAACTGGTTACTCCAGGCTGCCTGCATCAAATTGAAGTCCCTGATGTTAGCCTACAGAGTGCTTAAGGGTATGGCTCCCATCTACTCTTGCAAAGGCTTATGTCACAACTCGGTCACTCCGGTCATCAATGGATTGTCATCTAGCAGTGCCTATACCACGCTTAAGACAATCCCAAATGTTTTCATGTGTTGTTCCAAGATGGTGGAATGACCTACTAAGTGCTAAAAGAACAGCGGTACCTCTCTCTATCTTTAGGGAACTCTTAAAAACCCACCTCTTCCTATCCTAACTCTTACCCATACCTCTGTACCCCTCTACTACTCATTCTGCACTTCCCTCTCTCTCTCTTTGCTCTCACCACTGATTCTGACAAGGGATTTTCCTCCAGAGAACTAGATGATATATTGATGATAACTGTAAAATTGTGTCTACTTTGTAAGTCGCTTTGGATAAAACATATTTTTATCATAAACATGATAAATTGTAATGTTCTGCCCTAAAGCATTGACATTATTGAACGCAATCAGAAACAATGTCTTTCAAAATGTTTTTAAATCGATTTTTCAAATATGTGCTGCTGATGGAATAGGGATTACAAATCACAATTAATCTGGAAGTCATCCTATGGCATCTTTCTCCAACACAATCATGCTAATGACTTTTGGCAAACCAGTTTGAACTGTGAAGCACAAACATTATGGTTTAACAACAAATAGTTGTTTAACACTAACACCTGTGATTCGGTGATTTATGTGAAAATAATTTCGGTCCTGGGGGCACGCCGGTGTGGTGGTTAGCACCGTCGCCTCACAGTAAGAAGGTTCTGGGTTCGAGTCCCGGGGACCAGTGGAACTTTTCTGTGTGGAGTCCCTGTGTCTGTGTGGGTTCTCCCCGGGATCTCCGGCTTCCCCCCACAGTCCAAAAACCTGCAAACGGTCCAGGGTGTACCCCACCTCTCACCCATTGACCACCGGGATAGGCTCCTGTTCTCCCCGCAACCCCATTAGGGAATAAGCGGTCACGATAATGAATGGATGGATGGACAGATAATTTCGGTCCTAAGGGCACTTGCCTTAACTTGCCTTAACACTTATCCTTGTCCTGTCAAATAACTATTTGCCAAATCCTATACTAATTTCTTTGGGGAATTGTTAACATTTTTGTAACGGGATATGACAAGTTGAACAAAGACTGTTTGACTTCTAAACACCCTAAAAAAAAGTCAGACGTGTCCAAAGAGAACTGGACAGATTGTTAGATCTGTTGCCAATCCGATCATATTACTGTAGAGTGCTTTTGCTTAAAGTATCACATACTGGATGGAAACAAAATGAATGTGCGTTGTAGGGAAGTATTTTCAGAGAATTATGCTTGGGATGTCAATCCACGCACTTTATGTCTAACATTTTGTCTCCAAGAGGCAAGAGTCACATCTGCGTCTGATTTGCATCTTATCCTACATGCTTTCTTTTTAAGTCTTTTTTCATCTGGGGCAAATACTATTACATCACAGATTTACCTTTTAAGTTAGATAGCAATAAAAAAGCACTGTGAGGACACTGTTAAATATTATGGCACTGCCATTGAACACTGAAATAGGCAAAAAATGTGCTGCTGGAGGCAGCAGTGTGTAGCTATGAATTGTGAATATGCTTTTTAAAAAAGAAAAAGAAAAGATATCACAAAAAAGAAACAGATTCCCAAAGCTACAGGTGACTTTTGGAAAGACTGATTCAACTACATAGCAAAGTGTTGTTCCAATGAGGGATGTCTCACTTGCTACATCAGTTTTTCTCATGCTTTTGATCTTTAAATTTTTTTTTTTTTAAACTGACAAATGATGCTCGTGATCGCAATTTTAAGTGATGCAAGCTGCAGAATTACAAACAGTTTTTTTTACCTGAATCAGATAATAAAGCGATAAACTTCAGAACCAGGCAAATTGAAACAATAGCAATGATATCCCTAATTTTGTTATCTGAGCAGAATGTTGCCTAAAGAGTTGTGACATGTTATAGATCTCTATTTGGATTAGATTTGCTTCTACAGGTGCTGTCAGAATATTTTCTGGTGCGATCGGGAGTAACTTGACAAAGCCTTTTTAAATATTAGTTGTAAAGGTAAAAACTAATATCCGTCAGATGACTTTCCCAACAGAACTTTGTGATGAAAAAGGATGAGAAGCGTGACTAATTATACCTGTGGTTTTAATGTAATTGCTGATTGACGTACGTTTTTCATAATGAAAATACCTACCTCCTGAATATTCTTCTGTTGGTACTGTCTGTGGTGTGGTCGGACATGGTGGAACATCACAATCATCTGAATCGTGATTATTTTGTGCATCTGTGAGGAAGTCTTCGACAAAGTCAAAGTATTGCTCTGTTTTCCACCATTCTCTCCTGTAGTGGCACTCAAATTCATACATGATTGAGTCCTGCAGGAAGGAAACCCCAGTTAAGATAAACATTTATTTTTCTTTGTACAGTTAGACACAAACGATTGAAAAAGATACCGAATTATCATTTAAACTAGGACAGTCTCTTTAGACCAGTAAATATGTATTTAAAAAAGATGAACTTTATGAGGTTATGGTTCAGAAATTATTCTCAACATATTAAGTTAGTTGTTTGCTACAGAGTTGCATCATGACTGTAAAATTAGCTTCCATGAGGTTACTATATAGTATTGCAAGAGCAGCTCTGAATGATAGCATTTATCTGTCTTGTAGTACACATTTAATTCCATTACGGCTTGTATCTGCCTATGATATCTGATCATTATAGATTTCACCTTTAATAGTTAAATAATGTGTTTAATTTTCATCATTTACAATCTTATTTTTTGGATGGATGCAGTATTTTTTCAAATAATTTAATTTAACATAATTGACAGAATTTTTTAGAGAAAAGAAAAACAAACCATCAAACTCACCAAAGGACCCATTCTGTACCGTAGTTCTCTAAGTATGTGGATTACTATATCAATGTCATTTCTGTTGGAAGAAATGTTTCCAAACTTATTGGATAAATCTTCTAAACTCTGCTCCAAGGGGAAAACATTTAATTTCACCCAACACATCCTAGCCTAGAAAAAAAAGAAAAAAATGTAGCATAAAAATGATATTCAATGTGATACATGCTGTGTATGCAAAATGGAACTGATATTATCTGTCAAAATATATCACTAAACAATGCACTTAACAGGAAGTTATCTACACATTACAAGAACAATATCGTCATTTGACATCGATATATGGGTAACAGCTGGATGGTGAAAATGGTAACTTTTAGAGAGATCGAGTTCTTAAATGTGTAAAACAAAAGGAATAAAAATATATCATACAATATACCCTCGATAAACTGTATGATGCCTTACCTCGTCGTTTGGAATGTACTTAACAGGAATTTTGTAATCTTTTGGAATATTTTGTCTCTGTAAAAAGAAACAAGTGCAATAGCATTAAACTGGGGACAAATCAAGCCAAAACAATTAAGTGTTTCAGTCTGTAATTTTGCACTTATGCACAAACCCAATGTGGATATAAATTTGAAAGAATCTTGGTTGAGGAAAGAGCCAAATTAAATTTTTAGTCTTAAGGGAAAATCCTTTCAATGCATGATTATTTTAGATTGGCTATCGCACAAGTGCATATAAAGTGAAATACGTTAACTGGTACCAAGGATGTCATTCCATGTTGTGATTTGTAAATAACATGAACACACATTGCAGACTGGAATAATAATTCTATTATTCTAGAGAAAAAATAACACATTGAGTATATTTGAAAAAAGGAACAAACAAAGAAAATAAAAACTGACTGCAACATAAAACAGTCGCATTTCCTCCATTTAAACCTTTTAAATGAAAATAACTTTTTGCAAAAAATACTTAATGAAATTAGTGTAACTGATAAAATATATTAATTTATTTCAATAGTTAATAAGTTTTCATTATCTCGGACAAAGATATTGTAAAAGAAAGTTTCCATAATATAATAGGGCAAACCAGTATCAAGGGACATTTTTTCCATTACTTTGGCCTCCAAACCCCTATTCCAGATTAATCAAATACATGTTTTAGTGTTTATTTTATTTGTGGAATATAAAGGCATAAAGCTGAATCATTATACATGATCGAGCTCAATGCTCTACAACATATAATCTCTACAAGTAGGGATTGGTAAATTGCAACTGAGATGGGTTTTTTTTTTTTTTCAAGAGAAGGCCCAGTATTACTTTAGACAGACAATATCAAATCACAGTCTTCACAGTATCCAGTGGCATTAATCTTTGAAAAAAAGAGTGAACGGGACAAATCGGCCAATACTCACTGAAAACAACTGATGCAATATAGGCAAAACACTAAACAGGCCCCAAAATGTTGAGCCAGTTTAACGAATGGGGTGGTTAAAATCTTAATTACCTTTTTAATTTAATTTATTTAACAGCGCATTGGGATTTCTTTCTTTTTTTTACCATAGTTAAAAGTTCCTACTTTTGTGGTGGAAGTCTGTCATGGCATATACTGACTAAAACTGAATTTTAACTTAAATTCCTTTTTTTAACGATTGCATTTAAAAACTCAAAGTTGTGCTTACCAAAACAGAGAGTTTAGAGATGTCATCGGTCACTGGGTTGACGTTAAGTGTATCTGAAAGTACCCCAAGCGTGATGAACAGCAGGAAATGGACACAGACGTGTATCCAACTCTGTAGGTCAGAAGACACATTTATTGTGGTCAGTTGCAAATTTTAGATGAAACAGCACATTGTAAAATGGCCTTAAATAATTTATGATGCAACACAGCTTCATTTCGACTAGATTACGAGCGACAATGTCACATGTAAAAAGATGTTACATTTAAACAATTGTTTCTGGGTGAACGATTTGTCCACATCAGACACATTATGTAACCTATAAACAAGGGATGTGCCCAAATAATGCCAAAACAAACATAACCATACTCATTTTTTATTGTATTGTGTGACTTACATGTTGTGGCTGTTTGTAATATGTTAAGTTCATAAATCAAATTCATTGTACCATTTTATTTGCTTTAAAATCTATCGTTCACAAATAGAGAGCAACATAAAATGGCCTTCAAATACCAGAAGGGAATAATGTATAGGGGTGTAGAACCAGTAGCACTATTGTAGGGTTATATTCTGACCTTATCACAGATAATGCATGAGGAAGTGCAGCAAAATGACTATTGCCAAATATGCATGTAAACAATCCACTATTTGAAAACCATATTTTTAGAGCTTGACTGTGCTGTGAGAAAGGAAATGCTTTGTTTGTTTGCAAGACCTTAGGAATAGACTCGACGCCCTCTACAACGGGATGCTTAATGTAAACATAACTTCCCACAGTTGTTTTGCAGGCTCATGGATGTGCTGTTGCCCTTCAATTACCTGACCTCCTTCTTCAAATCTGTGCCATTACACCCATGTTACGCAACGGAGCCGCAACTCTCCCCTTAAAATAGACTAAAGCCAGTCTTAGTCTGCGCATGTCAACCTGCTCTTTGGTAAATTAATCTTTGGAGTGTTTCAAAGAGAGAGGGGTAAAGAGATCATAGTTAGCTGAGCCACGTAATCTTAAAATCCTTCAGCCAGCAAGGGCGAGATTAAGTTCTACGTTTAATTTATAAAAGGCTTCCGTGGCTAGTTATTGTTGTCCTCCCAAGTCATTCATACAATTCCCTGCGAGTTACAGCTCATACTATATGTTTGCAAGAGCTGAACCACAACAGGAAGAGAAGGGAACAATGATCCATCAACAGCAGGAAAGGTCAAAGGAAAAGCGCCATGTAAAGGCCAGATGGGTTTGAATTAAATTTCACCCCAACTTCCATTCATCATATCTTGAAATGTTGGGAGGAGGTGAAAAAAAAAACAGATGTCTGTGACATGTTCTAATCTATTGTACGTTTCAGATCCTCTGTGCATCATCAGCCATATTTGCATGCATAAAACCAAGACATGAAATGAGAGATACAAAGACTCAACAACTGTTGATAGCCTATTCTTCTAAATGTTTTATCTACAGCATCTTATGTTCATAGCAGCAAAAACACAACGCACTATAACATAAAACACAAAATGAACTTTCCTGTCCTTCTTATTTATATGTATTCATCAGACATTCCAATATCTACAGTACTACCATTGGTTCCACATCATTGTTAAACAGTTGTAAATTCAGATAACATTTATATATGCAAAGTCCATTTTGCAATTTATTGTTTAACATTAATTACATGGGGGAGGACAGACAATGACAACTTGTGTTTGTGGGATCATTTAAAAAGACAAAAGCCTTGTACTTGAAAAGGTCCAGCTGCTAATATTACCTATTAATGTAGCAATACATAAACACTTATGCTGGAAGTAGAATTTAATTATTAAACATCAGACAAAAATGTAATCAGTAATTATCATTTCAGCACAATTCCACACATTAAGGCCCATTTCATTCTGAGATATTCCCGAAAGCACGAATTATGCTCTGTGTTTCACAAAATATGACTCAGTTATGATTCACGTTCACTGCATGTTTGCTATGACTTCACAAAGCAATTCTCTTAGCCACTTGATTTCCATTTAAAAACAAACCATAATAAACTAAAGAAGAACTTTTGTCTCTGGAACAATGAAACCTATAAAATGCTAAAATGTTCTTGGCTAGTGAACAAGAAACACCTGGAAGTTGACGACTTGTGGCCCACTAGCAGACATTAGCCATCATTCACAGTTGCAGCCGCTGTAAACTCAGGTTTAACTGGTCAACCCAATGGTTATCTGTCAGAGCACATAAATCCAAGTGAAAACAGCAGTTTAGAAGCAGGGTGTTATATTGGTAATGAGTGATGACAGCAACTTAGCGTGTCTTTTAAAAACACATTCACAGCATGTGAAACAATGGGCTTTAAAATAATAGTACATGAACTACAGGTTCTGTCAACAAGGCCAATTTTTTTTAACTGCTAGTGCTTACCAAAAGTGGCAACATACGGAAAATACTTTCATACAGTTTGGTGGACATATGTTTTAGAGAAAAAAAGAGTCAATCAAATTTTAAGATATATTTTGTGATGGATAAATCCAATGGCAAACAGAAAGGTTTTCTTATGGCAGGGTTCTCAGATTTGAATAACCAAAAAGTGAAATATTATGTTCTGATCTGTCGTCAGGTAAAATAATGGCTGCTGTCACTAAGATGCTGACATACTCACATCTACAGTTTATGCTCACAATACCACAACTGTATCTGCCTATAGGTAGTGCATACAGTGCCCTCCGCAATTATTGGAACCCCTGTTTAAGATATGGTCACGGACTTCTAAAAATTCTCCTTTTTTTAAAAAAACAACATAAAACCCAAATGAAAAGAAAGAGAAAAATCTAACCTTTCATTTAAGTAAATGACTTTGGTGGTAAAAATAAAATCACACATTTAGAAAATAAAAAAAAATTGAAATCATGTGTCCCTCAATTATTGGCACCCCTGATGTTAATACTTTGTACAACCCCCCTTTTGCCAACAAGACAGCACCTAATCTCCTCCTACAACATTTCACGAGATCGGAGAACACAGAGAGAGGGATCTTTAACCATTCTTCTTTGTACAATCTTTCTAGATCATCCAGTGTCCTGGGTCCTCTCTTATGCACTCACCTCTTTAGCTCGCCCCACAGGTTTTCGACTGGGTTGAGGTCTAGGGATGGCCATGGGAGGACCTTGCGTTTGGGACTGCTGAACCATTTTTGTGTAGACCTTGCCACATGTTTTAGATCAATATCCTCCTGAAAGACCCAATGACGACCCATCTCCAGCTTTCTGTCAGAGGCCATCTGGTTTTTATTTAAAATGTCCTGGTGTTTCAAAGCGTTCATAATGCCATGCGCCCTAACAAGGTTCCCTGGGCCTTTGGAAGAGAAACAGGCCCACAGCATCACAGATCCTCCACCATACTTCATAGTGGGCATGTCGACATACTCATCTTTTGTTTTACGCCAGACCCACTTAGAGTGTTTGTTGCCAAAAAACTCAATCTTAGTCTCATCTGACCAAAGCACCCCATCCCAGTTGAAGTCCCAGTGCCGCTTAGCAAAATCCAGACGTTTGTGTCTGTGGTTGTTACTCAGAAAACAGCTTGTTTGCATGTAGAGAGCGTCTAATGGTTGTTTTGGGAGACTTTGTGACCCCATAGATTCCACTCTTTGATTCAATTCTGTGACAGTGAGCTTAGGATTTGTTTTGACTTCCCTAACCATCCTCCTCACTGTGCGCTGTGGCAAGGTAAACTTGGGGCGTCTTCCAGCCTTGTTTGTCACTGCTCCAGTTGTTAGGTTAGGGTTAGGGTTAGGGTTAGGGTTAGGGTTAGGGTTAGGTTATAAATAAGGCTATTTTCTTGTAACCATTGCCTGACTTATAAAGGCCTTACTTGAATAGTGTGTTCTCTTGTCTTTGGCATGTTGACAAATGGGTAAGAGAATTAGGCCTCTGTCATATTTATACTCCAGGGAAAACAGGAAGTCATGACTTACTAATTAAAAGTTCCTAAATACTATGACCAACTTTAGCAACTACAGAAACATATGTTTAAAGGAAATCTATGAAAATTTTCAGCAGAATTATTAGGGGTGCCAATAATCTGGGGACACCTGATTTCACGGTTTTTATTTTATAAATGTGTGATTTTACTTTTACCACCAAAGTAATGTACGTAAATAGGTTTGATTTTTGTAGTTTTTTGCATTTGGGTTCTGTGTTGTTTAAAAAAAAAGGTGATTTTTTAAAAAATCCTCGACCACATATTAAACAGGGGTGTCAATAATTGTGGAGGGCTCTGTATGTCCCTTGTATTTTGAAGGTCTTGACATCTTCAAAAAATAACCTTACACAACTAAAACAACTGTCTAAGTTCTTTTTGTCATGCAAAACCACCATAGTGTAATGTGCAGCACTTTTATGTAACACTGGTATGACGTTTGTGGCAGTTAGATCACTCTTGCCATGACAGTGTGTTAATGTAGTGCTTAAGCTATGTCTGTTGGAAAAAAAACTACAGGCTACAGCTATCCAGGGAACCTTGCAGAGGTAAAGACTTCAATTTATTTATCTACTTGTCATTTGCTTGAAATGCAGCTCTAAATACATTATAAAAAAACTTTTAAAACTGCTGTTTATTCCTGAGTTTTTTAGTTGATTTTAATTCTAAATGAAAAATGCAAAATACTGTATATATTCCCTGAATGGAGCAACACTGATAAACTCTGGATAGATTGAAACTAGGCTTATAATGGGCTGCTGCCAGGTTATGCTGGGCAGGGTGGCGCTGGGGAAAATAATGTGTACTTAGCGAACACTCTGTGGGAAACACAATATTTATAAGAAAAATATACATTGTCAACATCCATGGAATTGAAAACATATTTAAACACCCCTAGTGTGGTGTTCTGTACAAAATAGAATTGCAAAAACATTTAACTTCTGTACATTTTATGGTTGTTGGCATTTAATGATTCTTTGCTATGTAGAAAATGTTGAAAATTTTAAGAATGTCTTTGATGATCTAGAAAGATTTAGATATAAAAAAACCTTTGCTATCTGGGGCTGCATCACCAGATCACAGCAACAGGTTCTCGTTTGAATCCTGGATGGGATTTATGTGTGCAGTTCCTATATTCAACCTGTTTCTGCATGACTCCTCTGTTTAAAGTCATGTACGTTTGGTT